TCATCCTTTTCTTCGAGATCTTTTATCTGGACTTCCAGAATTTCTATCTTTTTGATCAGGGGATCAATTCGATGTTGTTCTTTCTGGGCTACCGTCTTGGTCATGTTCGTGGCTTCACCTTGATTTCTCCATTTTCGATAATCATCTGAGGCGGTCACCTGAGGTTTATCGAGCTCGCTATCTCCAAAATAAAAAGGCCTCTTCCAAGCCTCTCGTATGGTGTCAACCTGTGATTGCTGCCCTGAGGTGTATAAGAAGCAAATGCCGCCGAAGTCTTCTTGATTGGGTAGAGTCTGTGTCCATCCAAGTTGTCTTAACACTAGCTTTGGGGAGTAGGCTATGCATCTTCTTAATCCCATCATTGGTAGGTTAGAGAACTGGCCACACCGTACTAACACGTGACTCGGTCTAAACCAGGGGTACATCCATGTTAAAGTGTTTTTAGTGCATCCCTCCATTTCAGCTTTCCACGCCATGGCATACTTCCTTGATGATGGAATCCTAGGGAAACTTCTTAATGGGTCATGAAATTTTCCCATATAGTTCTTGGCGAAGAAATGAGTGTATGCCCACACATAAAGGAGTGGATTGCAGCATCTCATCTGTTTTCCTAATTTTTTACGGCAAAGGTCGATTGCAAGCAAGGTATCGACGAGGATGGCAGGTACAAGGCTGTTGGAGTGGGCGTCCCAAGCAAGGAAGGCGTCGATTGCGGCATGATCTACCACCCTCTTATGAAATGGGAAAAGGATTATCCTAAACAAGATTAAGGCTAGGGTCTTGTTGAAGGTTATCCAATTCTTTTGGTGACCCAGAAGGGAAAGATGTTCTTCCAAAATAGAAAGCTTCCATCCTTTGACTACTCCATTGCCTTCTAGAATGGACAAGTGAGAGGGTAAGCAAATTAATTTAGCCACCTTGTCGGAGGATATACGTCCTTCTTGAACAAAGAAAACTCATCCCGACTTGGGCCACTTAGTCATTAGGTCATACTCCTCTATAGTGGGCACTATATCAAAGTGTGGGAATCAGAAGCAACGGATCTCTGGCTCCCAAAAGTGTATCAAAGCTCTCATGAAAGCAGGGTCCACAGGTATTCTCCACAAGTCGAGGATTCTGTTGTAACGTTTTTCAAATTCTGTTTTGGCTTCTTTTGGCATCGAGGCACATATCTCATTTACTCGAGACATTGCAAAATTTGGAATGTTCACCTTCCTCAACGGTCCATGCATGCTACTATCTATAGCTTCCATATCTAAAAAAAATGGTTTATCATCCTAAAAGAAATGATGGGGGGTTTGTCTACCTACTTTTATCAAGTTTCCTTCTAAGATTTATGATGCGAAAGGAAAAATAGAACGTATGGAAAGACATTTTTTTTTTAGTTATTGCCCCCTTAATCTCATTCATTTGGAAAATGATATGACAAATGCAACAAACATATGCTCATACAGATGTACACCCGCGAACAGTCACATTCAAATCCTTAGTCTATGGTCCCTGTAAGAAAAGTGTGTTGTATAGGACAGTTATAATCTCACTAGTCTTAAGGCCCCCAAGGTGCCCCCATTATAGGGACCCAGTATCTCTATTGCCGTCACCTAGCAAACTCTAAGGTTTGTCGCAGTATTTCGGGCTAGAGTAACCGGTTATCACCTTGAGTGTGATTTCCGACAAGGCTCGCAGGCTCCAAGGCCAAACTTGGGCCGGTCGTACGTCAACCACTCCCTATGTTTAATACCCTCATGCCTCTGGGTGTAGGGAGAACTGTTTATGCAAAGGTTTGTGTACAATTTTTATTCCAAACAAGTGTTGAATTTAAACAAGCAAACAAATATGAAAGCCAAACAAATAAAACAAACAAAATAAAGGGGAAAAATATTTAAATTATTATTTTTATTTTACTAACTTCATCAATTAAATGGGCCTGACCCTCTTTAAACGTTCCTAGTGGAGTCGCCATCTGTCGCAACTTGAAAATTTTCGATCTCACGACTAATGGTTTAGACATCCTTTTAAAAGTCTCATTAATTAAGGAATGCCCGGACACCTGACTAATCCTTAATTAATGATTTTGAAAATAGGTTCATGGAGTCGCCACCAATATTTTACTCAAAACATTGGAAAAAGAAAAGGTTTTTAAAAGTCCAAAAATGGCCTTGATAACCAAACCAATAATGGCCTTGATAACCAGAATTGGGTTCAGGGGTCGATTACATGTAGGGAAGGTATTAAACACCCCTACAACGCCCTTAATCGGTACCCTCTGATGAAGTTAGCATTATAAATGATAATAATAGAAATATTAAATCCCCTTTTATTAATAATTATTTACATGCTTGAAATTTAAATTATACAATTAACCCTAAAATGTCTACATGATTATTTTATTATAACAATATTTATTATAGATAAGAAATAAATAAATAAAAAAAGAGAGAAAGAGATTAACTGAAATACCTCTTGAATGAACTCTATTGAATCTTCAAAACAGGAAGATTTTAGGTACTTTGTGGCAACCTTTCACACTACAATTCCTCACAAAATCTCAAGAAATACAAAAGAGAGAAAGAGAGAGAAAAAGAGAGAAATTTCGAGCTCTAAGGAGTCTGGACGAAATTTTTAGAGTCTGGAGAGCTGTGCCCAAGCTGTCTATTTATAGATTTCAGAAAGTGTCCGGAACAGCCCGTTCCAAAATCGGAACGACCTGTTCTGGATCTGACCGTTCCGTGTAAATTTTGTAACTGGAATGGCCCGTTCTGAAACTAGAACGGCCCGTTCTAGCGATGAGATTAACACAATGTTGGTTAGGTTGGAAGGCCGTTCCAAAGAAGGGTTTTTAGGCCCTTTTCATAACTTGGAACGGCCTGTTCCAGTTAAGGTTTTAACCCCCTTTTTATGAGCTTGGAACGGCCCGTTCCAATCTTGGAACGACCCATTCCAATTTAGGAACAACCCGTTCCAAACTAGGGTTTTAGGCCTTTTTTAGGAACTTGGAACGGCCCGTTCAAAATTGGGAACGGTCCGTTCCAGTTTTGCAACAGTCCGTTCCAGGTTACTAAAACCAGCTTGTTTGGGCTTTTGGGCCTTCTAATGTCCTGTCCTGTTATTTGCATGCCTCGGGAGCTCCTTCCCTTCATAACAGCAGTCCATTTCCTTGTTTGTATTCCCCGGATGAAATTGGGTGTCTACAAGAAAGAATCCACTACCTCATACCCTAGAAAGGACTTCAAGAAGGAAGGGTAATCCTCCAAACCTAAGGTAGATAGGTCACTAGAAAAAGAAAAAGAAAAAGAAAAATCGAGATAAATTTTCAATGAAGTCTAAGACAAGAAGTATCAAATGCCTTAGATATCTAGGGAGAGGACACATAGTCTTCCAATGCCCTACTAAGAAAACTATGATTTTGAGGGGCAATAACATTCATAGTAATGATAGAACTTCATCTTCTAGTGAGGAAGAAAAAGTCATAGGCTCTAGTGAATAAATCTTTCCATGTGAAAGAGACTTGTTAATTGCTAAAAGGTTACTTGCTAGCCAACCCCATGAACAATACCAATCCAAAGAATAAATCTATTTCATTGCAAAATTTTGGAAAATATTTGTTCTCTTATTGTGGATAATGGTTCAATTAATAATTTTTGTAGCTCAAGGTTGGTTGACAAGCTTAACTTAACTCCTATTGTCTATCATAAAGCTTATAAATTACAATAGTTAAATGAGGATGGATCATTAGAAGTCAAGAAACAAGTAACATTTCTTTCACCATTAGGAATAACAAAGATGAAGTTTTATGTGATATCATACCCATGAATGTAAATCATGTATTACTTAGAAGACCTTGACAATATGATAGGAAGGCTATCTATGATGGTCTTACTAATAAAATAAGTCTCACTTATCAAATTACCTAAATCCATGATAACTATTTGCTCTTTAGAGACATGATTTGGTCTTCTAGATCTATACGTATTCCTTTAAAAGGACTCTTTAATTTTCTCTATACTTTTTAATAACGAGATTCAAAATGATAAGAATGATACATGTGATGGAAACATAATCTATTTTATAGACAGCCGTAAAGTTATCTTTTAGATATTCTATTTTAACCCATTATAAAAATAGAATTGTGCTTTAGCCTTTACATGTCCATACCCTATTAAATACATTAAAGCCAAATTAATTAATCAAATCTTATATTTAATCACTTTTAATTGGGTCTGATCTTTATTAATGGTTCATAATACGTAATTAAACAAATATAAGGTCAATATTAAAGATTCAACAATTATGGAAAAGAAAAAAAATACATCCACGTAATAACTTCATAATGTTAAAGCTTTAACTTTATAGTGATAGTAAACCACATTATAAAAATTAAAACATCATTGGCTAAAGTCGTTACGAAAATGACTTTCTCAAGTCTGTCAAACAAGAAATTAACACACCTTATCATGTAGTTAAAATCATTCTACCAAAAAGTTTGATTAATGTTTTACACCCTGTTAGCTAACTAAAATTAGTCCATAATAAATCAAACGGTAAGCTTCACCATCTTGCTGGTTTAACTCCTCTAAGCAATCAACTTTTATTATTATTATTATTATTATTTTATTTTTATAGGCAGCTGGTGAAAGTGGTTGTGTTCAGGTTAGTGTAAAATTGAGTTAGAATTTTTACAACCAGCTATCTTTACGTTCAATTTAGTCCTCACGTTTAAACAAGTTCAATTTGGTCCTACATCAGAAACTGTCAACGTATAGTTAAAAGTCAATTCAAATTATTTTAACACTGACGGTTACAGATATCAAAGAAAAAATATTTCGAGTTATCTAATAAACATAAATATATATATATATTTTTTTTCAAAATAAACTGAAAACAGAAAAAAAATAAAAAAAATAATAATAATAAAAAATAATGTGAAGAAAAAATGATTATAGGTGTAGGAGCGAGGAGAAAGAAGTTAGAATAGAAAAAGAAGGCAAAGCAGCGTGGTGAATTCCGCTAGTTGTGTCTCCCGTGTCCGTTTCCGGGTGTGCGAAGGTGGAGTGAACAGAAAGGGCAATTTGGTAAAGAGAAAATAATATAGCAAGTGGGGTGGAAGAGAGGGAGTAGTACTAGAAGTAGAAGTATGATATGATATTGCTATCACCGTATCACATTGGTGACCAATATATTAGGAGAGGAGTTTCGATTCGATCAAGCCACGCACGCGCAAAGACGCATCTTTCCATTCCATTCCATTCCGATGCGATGACGAGCCTCTCCCTTGACTGGCACCATGAATCCTACCCCGCCTATCACGATTTCTACCTTCTCCCCCTCTTCGCTCTCTTCTTCCCCTCCGTGCGCTTCTTCCTCGACCGCTTCCTATTCGAGGTTCGTATCTTCCACCAACAATCGCTCGCTCACTCCATGTTCCCACGCTGACTTTGACTTTCTATTCGCTCTGCATTTCAATTCGCAGAAACTCGCTAGGCGCTTGATTTTCGGAAAGGGGCACGAGGCGCTGGACTACCACACCAACGAGAGGAGAAAGAAGATTAGGAAATTCAAGGAATCGGCGTGGAAATGCGTTTATTATCTCTCCGCCGAGGTTCTTGCTCTCTCTGTCACGTATGATGAACCGTGGTTTACTAATACCAGAAACTTTTGGGTGGGGCCAGGGTCTCAGGTCTGGCCAGATCAAAAGACCAAGTGAGGTTATCTTGGTTATCAGATAGAGTACAATGATGTTAATCGTGTGTTCTTTGTGTGTGTGTGTGTGAATTTGTATCCTTTTGGCGTTTCAGGTTGAAATTGAAGGCGGTGTATATGTACGCTGCTGGATTTTACTCGTACTCCATTTTTGCTTTGATTTTTTGGGAAACCAGGCGCTCCGATTTTGGGGTGTCCATGAGTCATCATGTTGCTACTGTGATTCTCATTGTGTTGTCTTACATTTTTAGGTACCAGCTATCTCGTTTTCATTCACTTTCGTTTCTCTTCTCGTTTGAGGTTTTTTTGTGTGGTTCTCTTTGGGAATTTGATTGCGTTTCTCTTCTGTGTCTTACGCGTTCAGGTTTGCTCGTGTTGGATCAGTTGTTTTGGCTCTTCATGATGCTAGCGATGTGTTTCTGGAGATAGGGAAAATGTCCAAATACAGTGGTGCCGAAACATTGGCTAGCTTTGCGTTTATTCTATTTGTTTTATCGTGGATCATATTGCGCCTCGTTTACTACCCGTTCTGGATTCTGTGGAGTACAAGGTTTATATTAGTTTGGTTCCCAATTTACATTATGTTTTCTTCTTGCTGTTATATTTACGGTCCTTGCCTGTCTATTCTGTTGCTTCTGAAAATCTGGGTCAATAATAAACAACGTCCCTGAATTTATATATTAAAAATAAAAATAAGAGTTATTGAAATGCACCCTGAAAGGCTGATGGTCCCCTCCTGCTGCTCTCCAAATTCAGAAGGTTTTCATCCTGTATGGAAATATACACCTTTTGGCATGCATTTTTAACAAAACAGAAGTACTAGTTTTGTATTTTTGAGTTTTTATCCCTTCCATTTGCCCTCCTTTTGTCTCTTTGATTTTTCTGGATAACAGATTAATGTTTCACTTTCCATCTATACTGGTTCCTTTATCACAATTTAAGTGATTATTTGCTTGATTGTGTGGATTATGTATTGGGGAACAGTAATGATTCAGTGCCTGGTACATTTGTATAGCAAGAGATGAAAGACACGAAGATAGAGGATTAATTGAAAACTTAGTTTTGCTGCATTGTATTGTTGGGTTCACCTCATGGAAGTCTTAAAGGTGTGGGGCAGTTTGAAGGGATGCAAGGTGGTAGTATTAATCGATTTGTGGGGCAACTCATCCTTATCTCTAATGAATTGATGTTAAGGCTCAAAGTTACAGGTGAAACAAACCCGTCTTATTCAAAGAGGTGGGTGATGGTCATAAAATAAGTTGCAGGGGAGTGTGCCACGGAGTCATGTCAAAGGTGCATGATATGTAATTCGGCAAAAGTTTTTATCTGGTTTGGGGGAAATGGACATAGTTTTCGAGTTAGTATTGTTGGTGGGGTTGGGAGAGATCATAGCTAATTTTGATGATTTGACGTTGAAGTAAGTGCATGATATTGTAATTCGGAAAAACTTCTTATTTGGTTTAGGGGAAATGGACATAGTCCCTGAGTTAGAATGTTGGCAGGGTTGGGAGGGATCAAAGCTAATTTCGATGATTTGACATTGAAGTAGAAGTGGGATGGTTAGACCATGGTGTTTAAGGCAAAACCTAAATTAATAAAATCCTTGACATCCATCAAGATCATGAAGTTAGCCATACAAGATCAAAGACAAGAATTCATGTTGTAGCTTAATCATATTGTAGCTTAATCATATTGTAGATCAATAGAAGTTTTAAAACCTAGACTAGATTGGGTAGTCCAACTAGTTGAACTGGGAACTGCCACTGATGCCATCGGTCGAGTGTGGACTGGTATGACCCAGCCAGTTTTTAGGACAAACCAATGAACCAAGGAGCAATGACATGGATCAGTTTATTTATCCTCTTTTTTTTTTAAAAGTTTGAATTAAAAAATTCAGAAGAAGTAAGAAATTTTGGTAGAGATGGGATTTGTACTTATATCCTTTGGATACTTAAAGCTTTAAATACCACTAAGCAGTCTAAGCCTACATGCTTAATTGATGTATGTGATTTAAATGATTTTTATAGTATATATTTAATTGCATATTAATTTATGCAGTTCAACCAGGGTTCACAAGTTTAACTGTGATCCACTGACCTAGTATTCTGACAGAGTTGATCATCAGTCTGAGTTTTAAAACACTGGTTGCAACACCCATACAAGGTGATTTAGATAAGTATAAAGATTTTTTTGGGCCTCTCAAAGTGTACTCCATATAGGAGACAAGATCATGCAATAGTGCTAAAACAAGAGGCTCAAATTCCAAATATCCCCATTAGCAAAAGATAGAGACTGTAAAACTGGTCAGTGAGATGTTAATGCTAGACATCATTTGACAAAGTGTAAGTCCTATTATTTTGGTGAAGGACAGCGGGTGGAGATTTTGAGTTGACTATCAAGCTTTAAACAAGATTGCTCTGCCTAACGATTTTTCATTTCCGGTGATTGAAGAGTTGTTAGATGAAATTGAAGGAGCTATGATTTTCTCCAAATTGGACTTGAAATCGGATTACCATCAAATACAAATGCAAGAAAAGGACATTGAAAAAATTGTGTTATGCACCCATAAAGGACACTGAGTTTACTGTCATGCCGTTTTGCTTGGCAAATGCTCCCTCTACTTTTCGGTCCTTGATGAATAAAGTATTAAGGCCTTTTTTGAGAAAATTTGTTCCTGTATTCTTCGATGATTTCTGCTGATATATAGTGCTATGTGAAGCACTTAGAGTTGGTCTTGCTTGTACTAATGCAACATGATTTAAAGGTTAACCCAAAGAAGTGCATCTTCTGGCAAGCTATCCTGGAGTAAATTGGTCATATTATCTAGCAGAAGGTGTGGCAATTGATCTTTAGAGATTGTAGGCAATATGGCTGTGGCCTATTCCAAGGATATCAATGAGTTAAGGGGATTTCTTGGACTTATAGGATATTACAGGTGACTTGTTAAGGGGTTTGGTATGATGGCACAAACCTTAAGTTGTTTATTGAAATAAAGATACTTTCTGTTGGGACAAAGATGCACAACTAGGCTTTTTAAGGAATTAAAGGCTGCTGTTACTACTTTGCTTATATTAGCACTGGTGTATTTCTCCAAGCAATTTGTTGTAGAAACTGACACATCAAGGACTGGATTGGGTGCAATTCTATTACATGAGAGACTATTATCATTTTGGAGCCAAATATTATCTGAAAGGAGCCTACATAAATCAATTTATGTGAGGGAATTGATGGTTATTGTGTTGGCTGTGAAGTAAAGTCACTATCTATTGGGCGGGCATTTTATAATCAAAACAGATCAGAGAAGTTTAAAGTTTCTTACTGAATAGAGAGACTCATGAGTGAGGACCAAATCAAATGGGCCACTATGTTGATTAGTTATGATTTTGAAATGCAATATACACCGGGTAAGGAAAATTCAGTTGCAGATGCTCATTACGGTGCTGTTTTCTTTGTAATTCTTTTGTCACCTGTCAATACATACTCTTTTTCTCTTTCTTTTTCATCATACGTTGGTCTAGTTCTATCACTCTTTCGAAAAGTATTGTTGTACACCCTCTGGTTCCTATGATATATCCACATGCCATGGAGATTCTCAGGCTATAATAATAAGTTGGAGAAACTAAATGCACTCCTGTTTCTCTGGAAGTGTTCCTTTAGCATTTTGAAATATCATGTATAAATGTCTTCAGGGATCATTTATATGGATGTAGTGGTCTGTCAATCGATCTGATTAATTGATCCCCCTTAAAGATAGATTTTCTATATAATGCAGGTATTCGTTTTGGCCAAAAAGATAGGGATATATAGACTTTTAACAATCCTTATTCTGAAAATTCATTTCAATCAATATATTTCATGCTCTTCTGTTTTGTACTGTTCATTATCCATTTTCCACTTTTTTATTTTTTTATTTAGTACTTTGGGTTTTTAATGTTCAGTGTTCTAATGGATTTTATGTAGAATTCGTACAAAAACATTTTAGTATTTCCATTGAGGAGTTGTTAGCTGTCTTAATTGAGCAGAATTATAAAATAAAATTTGTCCAATGCGAGAAGTTTGTAAGTAAATCTCATTGTAAGCACTCTAAAAGAAATGTTGTTTTGTCTCTATAGAAGAAATTTTAACAATTTAGTTTGAGGAGTAATACTAGAACTGACCTTTTCCATTCGTCATTTCGTTCCTATGTTCGATTGTTTTACTTGCTTCTCTCTTTCCAGCTATGAAGTTCTGCTCACCTTGGATAAGGAAAAGCACCGAGTGGATGGTCCAATATATTATTATGTGTTCAATAGTCTTCTATATTGCTTGCTTGTTATGCATATTTATTGGTGGGTGTTGATATTTCGGATGCTTGTTAAACAAATCCAAGCAAGAGGAAAAGTTAGTGAAGATGTTCGATCTGGTAAGTTGAAAGATGTGTTCTGTGCAAGGCTTCCTTATTTAAACTTTTCATTGACTGATCAACCTTGTCAAAAAATCTGTTCCCCGTGCCTACTATCTGCATATAAGTAGAAGGAAAAAAAAAAAAAAAGAACTAAAGAATATATTATGATTGTAGAAATTCTGGCTGAGTTATATGAACTCAATCTGGAATCTGGATTAGAAATGTTATTTACTTGACTTTTGCTTAGTTTATATTTTTTTTATTTTAAAATTCTATCACTCAATCGGGATATTAGAGTTATTAATTGAAAAAAAAAAAAAAAGAGGCTTACCAAAACAAAAATTGACAAAAAGAATATGATGACTGGACATCTTTGTGACGTAATCACTTTGATGTACTTATCATAGAATGAATACAATCAATCAGCAATTGGTTTAGTAGCAATATTGTCTTTAGTCTGTCATTTTTTGTTAGTGTATTGCTAAATAAGAAATTTCTTTAACCGTTTACCATATTGCAAACCACTGCAATTTTCTTTATGCAGATTCAGAAGATGAAGATGGACATGAAGATTGAGTAGGGAAGCAAAAGCATAATGTAATATTTAGGCAAAGGTGAATATAAAATGATGAAAAATTATTTTACACTAACATTATGAATATGGTTGTATTTTATGCGGATTTATGTTGAATATGTTAAATTGTCCATATTTTATTTTATTTAAAAAGAATCAGTTTTTCCATAATTATATTGTAAATTAGAAACAACTCGTGATTTTTTCTTCTACTAGTTCATTGCAATAACTACAGGTTAGAAGGAAACTGCACTCAAAAAATGTTATAAAGTTCTGAAGTCTTATAATTTTTTTCTTTTTTGCTGGCATTATCTCATGATACACTGGCATATGAGGCCAAGGAGAGAATTTGAAATATAATCTTTGTTAGGTGTTGAGATAAAGAGAAATAAGTACAGCTGCAGTATCTTTTTAAAGGTTGACTACGACTGCAGTATTTTGAAGTCATGTTAGATGACCTTTGTTACTTTCCTTAAATTAAGAGAAATGCTGTTTGGTTTATTTTTTGCAGATGAATTCGTTAGCTTCAATCGGATTCTGTGCCTTTGGCCACAATGCTAATATTTTCTTATTCAAATTGAGAGGATTGTATTTATTCGGATTTGAGTAGACTACGGAGCTGATATAAAAGGGCGACAGATGGAGAGAATTTTGATTCTTCTGAACTATGTGTCTATGCTGCACCTACCGAGGTTTAGGCTTACTGCCTGACATTTTGTTAAGATATTTTACTTTCCTGATTATTTGTCCCTTGTTCAAATTACAAGTACTGTCGATTAATATTTTCTGCCACAAATGTTATCCTTTGTTTTCATTTATTGGAGAAGAAATTTGTTGGACTTTGATCATCCACAATGGTGGTTGTTTAAAGATGTATTTTATTTTACTTAATTGAATCTCACATTGTTATATTATATTTAAGCAACTCATACAACTCAGTACATTTTTACTCTAATAGTCAAATTTTAAGATATCCTCATATATATATATATATATAGTTAATCACTTATACACTGCCAGCGTAATGGTACAATTAAGAAATATAATTAGTTGCCAGTGTAAAAAAACTTGACACTGACTATGTATAAGTGATTAACTATATATATATATATATATATATATATATATTTATTTGTTTATTTATTAATTTTGCATGATATTGATTGCTTCTGGTTGATACTTTGAAAACAATTTTTTATTCTAAACAACTGTATCTTATATAATATACATCGCTTGAAATTAAGCAATTCACACAACTAATTAGATTGTCTCCCTTGCTAAAAAAATTCAAGATACAATTGTTTAAATTTAACAACTCTTAAAATGCAGCTATTGTGGATGCTCTTAGTTGTCACACATCATTGCAGCAAGTTTTAGAAATAGCTTATATTGGTATTTCCGTGACTTGTTGAAGACCAATTATAAGAGCACGAATTGATGTTTAATAGCTATCCAACCCTTCAACAATTCTTGAATTTAAGACTCTTTTCTGGAGAGTTAGTCATATAGGTTGCGTAAGCTAACTCCAAGAACAAGATCAATTTGATGCTCTATTTTTTTTAAGAGGTGGCAATACCTTGAGAATCTTTGGTGGTAATATATAAGAGTTAATCACCTATATACTGTCAGTGTAAAGTTTTTTTACACTAGTAACCAATTATATCTTTTAATTGTGCCATGTCACTATTAAAAGTAAATGTGTTTATAGTGACATGGTATAATTAACAGATATAATTGATTGCCAGTGTAAAATTTTTTTACACTGATAGTATATAGGTGATTAACTCAATATATAATCAAGTTCTTTTAAAAGTTTTTGAATTCCTTGAGGTAGAATCTCATATTTCACTTTTTGTTGTGCAATTGAGTGTCCGTTTGTACAAAAGAAGATAAAGATGTTGTTCAAGATAGATAGTCCTTTTAATATAATTTTTTTGTTGCAAAATGACTTTTTTTCTTAACAATTTTTTTAGAGGGAACATTATCCTCCTTTACTTTCTCCTTATCTATTTTACTCTTTAGTTTTTTTTTCCCTTTTTCTTTTTATTATTGCTCTTAAGCTTCATTTGTAGTTGACCATCTACCACTTGTGTAAGTAATAAGATACAACACCAACTTCTTTTTTTTTTGTGGGTAAAGGATATTGTATTGGTAAAGCCATTATACATGAATTTCTACAAAATATGACAAACTTTTATAGGATTTATATCACATAAAACTCCATCTTCATGGTTCCTTATAAAAAAAACAAAAAAAAAACTTGACCTTTACTTGGTCCATTACCAAGTCTCCATTTTTATGCAACCATTAGAATCTAAGGCTTTGGGTAGGGAATGGTAGTAAGGGCTACCTTTTTAACTAATCTTATGCTACAACAATTGCAACATGAACAATTATCAACAATGAGAGAATGTTTTATAAAAAAAATTTACATCTTGCGTGGAAATTTTTCTCCCTTTGTGATTGGTCTAGATCACAATATTGACTTCCAAGAAGCCTTCTAACCAGCAAGAGGTCACAATCACAAAGATAAGCACCCTTTTTTTTTTATCTATCTTTTTTCTTCTTCACTCTCACTAGAGGTGGAGGAAGATGTGGCCTCCTCTTGAATGATATATTTGTCTATGCCCCCTCATAACCATGATATTTTTTTTTTGGAACATTGAGAGGTAATGTGACTTATTCTTAGACACTTGAAACACTTAATGTTACTAGTTTTGGAGGTATTTTTTTTTCTTTTAAAGGTTTGCTTTTTCTCACTTTTCTCCCTAGATGGTTCACTCTTAGGATAACTCTTTGAAGAATACTCTTCCCTTTTATGGTCCTTCCTAGGGTATTATGATGAGGAGAAGTTCTTCTCGAGAAAAACACTTCTTTTAAATTGTTATACCCTAATGCATAGTTAGACCAAGTCATTTAGGTCCTTAAATGACAAGCGGTCCACTTTATCTCTTATCTCAATGCTCAAGCCAATAAGGAACCTAATTATGGTGGTTCTTTCCTCTTCCCTTATTCTCCCCTTCATCATGTATAAGTCCCATTTATTGTCGATATTGATCAACACTCATGTTATTTTGGCGAAGTCTTTTGAGCTTATCCGTAAGCTCCCTTTCATAATAAGAAGGAATATGTCTCCTCTTCATGGCCCATTTGAGATCATTCCAATAAGTAATTAGGGGGTTATTATGGATTCTTCTATCCCTAGCAAGGAAAGTCTACCAATGCATGACATACCTTTGGAAGTTTAGGATAGCCAATAGAATCTTTCTCCCTTCATTCACTTAGTAGTAAGTGAAGAGTTGTTCCACTTTCATATCCTAATCTAAATAGCTCTCTACATTATCTTTTCCATGAAAGTGGGGGAGGTCAACCTTAATCTTTTTAGCTCTAGGTTCCCTCATCCTCCTTGGCTTATGTACTCTAGGTTCCCTATGGTAGCAAGCAATCACCCTTTCTCCCACTTTTATATGAGCTATTACCATGGGAACTTCCATTGTCCTATCTCCTCCATGAGTTTTTTTTCTCTTTTTCTCTTATCCTTTCTTTTTTAAGCTTAAAGAATATCTTTTTTTTTTTTTATCTTTTTTGTTTTCCTCTTTTCCTCTTCCTTCCAAAGCTTTAATGCTTCTAGTTATATTATTGAACTTTCTATTTGATGATTTGGTGGTGAACTAGAACTGCTACTACTCATAGAAATTTTATTTTAGTGCTTACTCATAATGCAATGCAATACTTAAGGAAAAGTTTTTTTTTCTAACTTAATGAAAAGGAAACCCTAAGTGTTTAAAGAAGCTTTTGAAATCTCTTTTAACACACTAATGAAAAGCAAATAAGGAAAGGAGCAAATATGCAACCTAGTTGTGCTTTCTAGGGTGAAAGTTTGGGTGGACACTTGAGTGTCTCCCAACACACTTTCACTGGGAACAACGAAAATTGCTTGAAGAAAATAAGTAAATGGAATTTTTTGGGTAGACACTTGAAGCCTCCCAAAATCATTTTCGAAAGGCCAAATTACAAAAAAGAGAGAAATGAAGTTAGCGAAAAAATACATAAAAGGGGGGTTGAATATGTGTGTGTGTATGTACAAAGGAATTTTAAAATCATTTTCGCAAGAGTAATATACTTCGTCCAAAGCACTTTCAAATACCAGACGATTAGGCAGAATTTGGTTAACACAGGGTCATTGCGTCTGACAAGTTTATCGCCTGCTGAGGAAAATGGTTTATCATAATAATTGTTGAAGTTCTTACATTTTCCTTTCTCAAAATAGTTTCATTTAAGGATAGGCAGTAGATAAAGCTTTTCAGTGTAATATGCTTGTTAAACAAAATTGCTTCTTTGTCTGAAGATTGGTTTTGATGATATGTAAATGTTGGATGAAGTCTTTCACAAAGATTTACTCAGTAAAGAGGATTTATTCTTAGTTAAACAGGAAAAGTAATGCAAATATTTTATACTGGTTTGCTCAACTGAGCTACATCTAGTCTCCTTCGACTGAAGGGTTCCACTAGATATCAAATTTAAGAACATTTGAGTATTGTTGTGCACTCCTGAACCTGAGTATTCTTGACCACTCCTGGCCCATAGGCTTCACTCACCAACGCTAGTATTCTTAAACCACTTCTGGTTCTCCAAGTATTTTCGACCACTCCGGGCTCGCCAGCTTCATTCACCAGTGCTAGTATTCTTAAACCACTTCTGGTTCTCCAAGTATTCTCACCCACCCCTGGCCCGCCAGCTTCCCTCACCAGCATTAGTATTCTTAAACCTCTTCTGGTTCTCCAAGTATTCTTGACCACTCCTGGCCCGTTGATTTCACTCACCAACGCTAGTATTTTCTTATCAGCCACTTTTGGCTAGTAGTGAGTATTCTTTGACAAGCCCCTTCGGGCTTTACAGGTATTCTTTTCCTAGCCTCTTCAGGCTTTACACATGATAGATTTGTATTCAGGTTTGAGTGTTTGGGTTACTCTCACAGAGAGGATTGGGAAATTTCTACACTCGCTAAGGTTTCACTACCTTAGTCCTACAGAGGCTTGTATTTGAGTGTTTGGATTACTCTCACGGAGAGGATACATAGGTTTACAACACTCACTAAGATTTTTTCATGACTGACATTTTGAACACCTTAGTCTATAAAGATAACAATGCAATATTACATTGAGTATATGATTACGAACGTTCATCTCTGGTCCCTCTGTCTTGTGGGCTTGATATCATCTCTCATCAAATGCCTAGGGCAAAGCCTATGATTATCCCTTCGTTGCTTCTTACCCACCTTTTTCGGTTTGATGTTATTGTATACTTATAGGCCTGTAAAATTTGTCTGTTGCATATGTTCGTTGAAGTTAATATAGTCGTTCATGACTAGTTTGATCCTTTCGTTTAATGCATTTGGTCTTGCATTAAATGTTGCTTCCTATTCTTAGAGTTAGCGTGTATTCTTCTCTGTCCTGTTGGTACAGTGTTTGACTTTATCTGAAACCAAAAAATTATTTGTCTTTCTTCTAGTCATGCAGCAATATAACCGTTGTCCTTTTCTAAAAAAGTAATGCACTTTTTCTGACACATGCATGCTCTGCTTTTGCGTGCTTCTCTTCTCCTTTGTTCCTTCATACAAGTTTTACGTTGAAAGCTTTGGTGTGTTCATAGACGATATCTTGGCTTGTTTCTTGAGACGTGATTCTTTATTTGCCTGTGTGGCAGTCTTTATCTTCGCTTGTTGGTCCTGTGCATTTCAATCTTGACTTTTGCTTCAGCGTCTGAGTTTAGTGCTTTGACTTTTCTTTGGTCTGATTAACAATGTGAATAGACAAACATTGTTTCCATCTGGAGTGTCTCTCAGTCTATGTTGTCCTTCGTCTGATGCATAGTTGACTTTATTTTGACCTTAGACATATGCCTCATCTGATTTGGGCTTT